CCCCCCCGGACGAGGCACGCCCTTTCATACATCTGAAAAACGGTGAGGGCAAATTTCAAAATTGTAAATCAAGCCCGGCTAAATAAGGAATATTCTACCTCCCGTTGATATAAACTTACCCGCACGAAAGCCTCAAAAACCTTCCTCTCCTCCCTGACGGTCACTATTTTCATTTTCCTTTTTTTTCCTTCTCCTTTGTCTTTCTTTCTTCTTTTCTTTTGTCACTTATCACCCTTTCTTTCCTTTTCAATGAGCGAATTCAGACTGGCAGTTGTCTAAACCGAATCGTACCGCCTATGCTCGAAGAAGCTGCGTAAGCAGTAACTCAAAGCCACAAGATAAGTAGGCCGTCAACACCACGCGCGTGTTCATAGAGTAAAACCCTCCACCGACACTTACCTAAATTAACAGAGGACCACGGCACTTTATCGTTCATAAAAAATCCCCCCCCCCCTTCCCCGTTCTGCGATTTTCAGATATCATATGTCACTAGATAAACTAAATTTCTCGACTCCGTGAGAACGGATGTGCATGATCCGTCTCTCACCTTATTTTAGTAAACCTGAGAACACCGTGGAACACCAAGTCCGTTGGTGTTCCCACCGAAAACGCAAGCCACGCAGTTGCAGAAAGAAGAGGGAATCCAAGACGAGCCTATAAATAAGGGCCTCGTCTTCAAGAACAGTAGTAATTTTTCTCATTCAGCCAGCTTCAGTTCGGTCAGTCAATTCTTAATTCCTTGTTTCTCGACTCAGTCTCGCGAGTCTTTTCAATTCAGACCATAACTAGTTTTCTCGCGAGTCTGATCTGTGCAGCCACGAGTGTTCTTAATTCAGTCCTGGTGACTCCTCGAGTTAGTTTTCATCAAGTTTTACCAGCGCAGCCGTGCTACATAGTTAGTCATTTCAAGTGAACTCAAGACGGTCCCCGCTCTCTCTTCTTTCCAAGGCGACGTAATTCACTCGACTATTTCGGATTAGCCGACATCGAATATAAGTTACTATTATATTATATTATTTCGAGGACCATTATCGCTGAAACTATACTGTCCCCTTATAAACCGTCATACAATCTCGTCGCGACATAGCGAAAAGGAAACTCTGTTGCCATCTCAACGTGAAATTTATCGAAATTCATCAAAACAATAATAAATCGTATATCTATTTAGTTTTAATTTGGCTGTTGTTTTCCTTAATAATCCTTTTTATTCAGATTCTACGCCAGAACTACGTGTAAACCTTCCCACCTTCCCCCTCGGCTTAGTTAGCTGCTAAGCGTGGCGGAGCCGCTCCCGCCGCGCGCGTCCCGGACCATTCAGGACGTAACAATATATATACACACACACACACACACACACACATGTGTGTGTGTGTGTGTGTGTGTGTGTGTGTGTGTGTGTGTGTGTTAACATATCTAACGCGCGCGCGTGTGTGTGTGTGTACAGCGTGAAAAGGGTGCCCCCAAAATTCACAATAAATATTTGTAACCTTTAGTTAAAAGGATGTATATAGGGTGATGTAAAATACCCTTTTATCATTAAAACTACATAATCCTGGCAAAATTCTGAGACAACTTTTTATCTTGAAAAACTTTGCCCACAACTTATTTTTTTTTATTATCAACAGAATAGCTCAGGCATGTCCAACTTGAACCAGAGGAGGAAATCATTTCCCTTACACCAAACGCTTATGCTCCCTATGTCATCTCAGCGTTTCAGTTTGTCTCATTACACTCCTTCATCTCACTTTGCTAGATGATGGAAAATGGGAAGCATCACGGTTCCGGAGTTAATCTTACAAGGGGATGATACAACAGCGGTAAAAGGAAAAACAAGTTTTATCTCGCTAGAGACGCTCGGTTCCGACCACTGAACAGCCTGTATAATACTTATAAGGCCCCATTCGTACAACCAACTTGTTTTTCCTGCTTGTATTGCTGCTGTTTGTAGTTAATTCCCAAACTCACCGTCAGGCGGATTTTACCAGAAACAAAATGGGCTCATTTCTCGAGTACCGGGACGAATTGATAATAACGAATTAATAGTAATGCCCTTGAGATTGTTTTCTATACGTTGATACTGGTTTCAAAGCGATTACCTGTGTATCAATACATACCATTCCCTTGTTAGACATGTCTGAATTAATCTATTACGATTTGGTTACAGCAAGTAAGCAGGAGTGGTGCAACTCGGACACGGGCGTTTACGTGGAATGCCTGCTATGAGAAACTGATCGTTACACACAAGCAACGTATCAATATTTACTGCCAGCCCAGAAAATCAACGGTTAATGTTACATGTGTGTAGATTCTCAGAATTGATAATAACTTGGAAAAACAGTCATGATAATGTACACAGAACACACAGTAAGTTCGTATTCTACTTCTCTCTATCTCTCTCTCTCTCTCTCTCTCTCTTGCTCACTCGCTCACATTCCCTCACACATTAGGAATGTGCAACTTTTACTAATAAACATGTATGTCACAATAAATCGCTGTCAATCATTATCAATCATTATCGATTAACTATTCAACAACTAATAAAAATATATAACCAAACACGTGTTTCTTCCAAGAATTATCAGTCACAAACACAACAGGTGCTTATTTCACAACAAGAAACAGATTACTTATTATTTCATTGATAATATTATTTCATTGATTATTAATTTCATTGATTATTATTATTTCATAGATAATATTGCGTATACAATGAAGGCGTCACAAAGTCCACGAGTTGCTTTCATGGTGTGTACAGCATGGAGCATAATATATTTTTAAATGTAGAAAAGTATTGAGATGCGCACCATCTGTAGGCTCTCAACACGTACCTCTCCAAGAAATTCCCTCCATATTCTCGGTTCCAGCGCTGTCGAATATCTAATTGTTTAATGCCTCAGAATCTTGAACTGGGAATTCGTGTTTCCTATTCATTTTAGATACAATATGATTGCAAAATAAAAAAAGTATTCCACGTAATAAAATATTTGATTGCTCAGAAAAGGACACTCAGGTTTGCACAGGTTATTTTTAAAAACCATTCTGCATAACAAAATGTTGTAACAAATGTTCAAAATGGCTACCATTCATTGCGATGCAAGTTCTCATACATCTCATAAGGAGACCACATGAATTAGGTCTCCGACCTATCACGATGAACCAAATTTTAAGGTGAAAGACCCCAAGCATAAATGTAAAATATTATGTGTATAAATACTAAGTACAAAATATTTGGTATAGATAGCCAGCTATTCAAAAGTTATTAACGACAATATATTTGGTATAGATAGCCAGCTATTCAAAAGTTATTAACGACAATAGATTTCAATGTTACATATATGTCAATGTAACAAGAGTGAATCTCGAAACAGCACGTGACAGAGCGGTAAGATGACTGTTCGCAAAGTCGTAAGTCTAAGGTTCGATTCCTAGTATTGGCGTTCTTTCTCCAAGTCTTTCTTTTATATTATTTTATAAAATATTTCTCTAATTGTTTTTGAGGTCGGAAATGCATTAGAAAAATAAGTAAATTTTAGAATAGTCAAAACTTATTAATTTTTCATGCAGTATAAGGTTACGAGTTTGATGAAGAAGGACATTAATTAATAACTATTGGGAGTACAAATTAGTTCGGTCCGTTTTCAAGAGATGGCTCTGGCCATTATGAATGTTTCATAGTGACAGCTGACTTCCGTGGTTTCAGAGAGGTTAGACATCTGTCGATAATATTCAGTTTATATCGCTTTGAGTTTCATACAAAACTCCTGTTTTTTACTGTGTTGAATATGTCAAATTTTGTC